ATAATAGTTATAGTTCCTCCAAAAACAAAAATCCACCTTGCTATTTGCCACAAGATGTAAATCAAAGTTTCCACAGAATCAAATGCTTCAAATAGGGTATTTATATGAATGGGAGTTCAATCCAACCATCTCAAAGACTCATGTTGTACTTGATGAACTTTTTGTGCCTTATAGCTTATCTATCTTTTTTCCCCCTCTTATATGTTGATAACCCTAAGCTCTAGTTATGATTATTGAATATTCTTGCATTTATTTCCCTCCAAATGCACCAAAGTAGTGCCATCAAAGCACAATCCTATAGTAGCTTTGCTTGCTTTTTCTTTCCAAAACCCCAAAACTTAATGTACAACCATTCTTCTTTTGTAGAAGGACAAACCCAAACTTTATTGGATAGCTTGAATAAATTATTCCAAATCCTCATGCAAAAGTGCAATGAACGAACAAATGAGGATTCGATTCTCCACTATTCAAACAATTAGGACAAATATGAGGGCTCAAAGCCTTATAGGGCCTTCAAATTTGCAACAAATCGCTAGTGTTCACCCTATAAAGGACAACAAACTAAGCAAAAGCCTTAATTTTTGAAGGAATTTTGGCTTTCCAAACAAATTTGGCCAGAGAAAAAGGCTTAACATTTTGGGGACTAACAAGATGTGAGTAGAAAGATTTATTAAAGAATATTCCAATAGGGAATTATTCAGGACACTTGTCTGACACAGCTAGAAGTGTCTTGAATAGTAAACATAGTCGGATACGACCAAGATACGTCTAGGACACGGTCAAAAAATTTTTTATTAAAAAAATAACTTATAACTAATAAAGGAGTGTGATTTTTAATATATTTTTTGTTTTGTAACTTATATACTATGAATTTTAATAAATGTCATGTTTGATAAAAATGATAGATATTTAATTTGATCTATTTCAATTTTAATCAAAAAATAATATTTGCTAGGTTTTATTATTAATATTATTATAATATATGCTTTATTTTTAATATATTACAACTTTATTATTATTTAAAAAATATATTATCTTATTTTAATTGCCAAATCTGTGTCCTATATTTTTGAACTTTATTGTATCCCCGTGTTCGCATCATATCAAATATCATACCCATATTGTATCACACCCGTGTCCATGTTCGTGGCCGTGCTTCCTAGATAAGAACCCTCTAATATGCCCCCGCAAGCTATGCATGGGGGTGGAAGCACACATAGATTGGACCGTAATTCCTTAAACTTAGCTGGTAAGGTTTTGGTGAAGATGTCCACCAAATTGATCATATGCGTGGACACATAAAGAACCCAAAGTTGGCTCCAAGCAATATGTTCACGAACGAAATGAATACCCACCTTAATATGCTTCAAAGGAGCATGTTGTACCGAATTGACACCCAAGTACGTGACATTGATATTGTCATAGTAGAAAATGATAGGCTTTGGAAGAGGAACATGCAAATCCTGTAGAAGGGATTGTAACCATCATATTACCAACTACATCTTTCTCGTCCACCTCCTCCCATTCAATGTCAATTATGCTTTGAATTTTATCACAAAGCTCGTCATTGCCCTCAAAATTCCAAAGCCTTCATTACCGACATTGGTTACGCTTCTTTTCTCGCTGCTCCTTCACATGATACCTTTGATCCTAATTGGTATCCAGATACACGTGCTTCTTCTCATATGACACCCCACTCAAGTCATTTATCTTCTCTTTCTTCTTACAATGGCGACCAGTTTCAAGTGGATTATGGTCATCTTTTACCAATTTCTCATATTGGTCATACCTTATTACCCTCACTCGCGGCCTCCTTTCCCCTTCGTATGTCTTTGTGGTTCTTGATATCCAAAAGAATCTTCTCCCTGTCAAACAATGTGGAGAGAGATGGAGAAAGTGAATTAAGAGTGTTTCTCTTCTACTTTTTTAGCTTTGGTGAATGGTGAACCTAAGGAAAGATAGAAATAAAATGACCATAATTTTAGGCATTCACTTAATCTTGTTAGGTATAGGTGCTTTTCTTCTAGTATTCAAGGTCCTTTATTTTGGAGGCATATATGATACCTGGGCTCCAAGAGGGGGAGTTGTAAGAAAAATTACCAGAGTGGTTTAATGCTTCTCGGAGGTTAAGGCAAGGAGACCCATTATCCCCTTCGCTTTTGACTTTGGTGGTTGACTTTTTAAGTAGAATGTTTTATAGAGCTGAAGAGGTGGGTTTAATTGAGAGGGTGAAACAGTGTGTCACATTTGCAGTCTAATGATGATACAATATTCTTTTTGTCTGATAAAACTGAGGGTTTTGCAAATGTGCTTCTGTTGCAAAAACTTTTTGGTAAAATTTCTTAGAAATTAATATGTCAAAGAGTGGAGTGGCGGGGATTAATTTGGTAGATGATGTTGTGAGAGATTTTCTACTGTAGCAGGTTGTGTAATACATGAATGGTCTATTAGTTATCTGGATTTGCCTTTAGGGGACAATCCTAGATCCTTATCTTTGTGGGACCCAGTTGTTACGAGGATGGGAATGAAATTAGATTGTTGGATGGTTGGAAGGGGGAATATTTTCTTTAGGAGGACGGATTACCTTGTTAAGTCTTGCTTGTCTAGTATTTGTATATATTACTTGTCCGTATTTAGAATTCCAATAGGTGTTGCTCAAAGATTAGATAAGATGATAATGGATTTTCTTTAGTCAGGAGTGGGGTAGGATAAAAGAGACCATTTAATGAGTTAGGAGGTAGCGTATAAGCTCATAAATTGGGGGGTTTGGGAGTTGGTAATTTGGTGTCTAACAATGTTTCTATGGTTTGGAAGTGATTATGGAGATTCCCCATGGAACCTAATTCTCTTTGGCACAAGATAATAAGGAGGAAGAATAACCTACATCAAAATGGGTGGGATTTTAGATCTGGTTGTAATGCAACTCATAGAAGTCCTAGGAAATTCATTTCTATGGTATATCCTTCTTTCTTTCCATCAGTTTGTTATAAGGTGGGGGATAGATCTAGGGTTTTATTTTGGGAGGACATGTGGTAAGGTGTGACAGCATGTAGTACTATTTTTCGTCGACTCTATCGTCTTTCTTATCTCCATGAGACACCTATTTCTAGCTATATTGTTAGGGGGAGAGTTCTTATTCTTGGGATTTTCATTTCTTTAGGAGTCTAAATGATAGAGCAGAGGATTTGATATCTTTGCTTCTTCTTCTTCAAAATTTCAATCCTAATACTTTCCCGGATTGTAGAATTTGGGTTAAGAATAATTCAAGTATTTTCTCTTGTAAATCTTTTTACTCTATCTTGTTAGTTCCCATACTGATCATCCTTTTTCTTTTGATAAATTCATTTAGAAGGCAAAGAGTCCCTCTAAAGTAAAGGCATTTGTGGTCTATTGTGCTCAATAGGGTGAATACTAACAATATGTTGCATGAGACACGGAGAATCCAATGCCTATTTATTTATTCATTGTTCTTTTGCTTGGGGATTGTGAAATAAATTGTTTAATGTGTTTGGTGAGGCATGGGTTTGTTCGGCTTCTGTGGAGGAAATGATGCAGACTATATTTAGAGGATTTGGAAGGAGTAAAGAAGGAAAGATTTTGTGAAGTTGTGCTTTGATGGCGATTTTTTGGAATATCTTGATAGAGAGAAATTCCAGGATATTCAAAAATCAATTCTTTACATTGTATTTGGTTTGGGAAAGAATTGTTTTTCATGCCTCTTAATGGTTTTTTTTACCTTTATCGGATCTTCAAAGGGATTGTAAAGCAGCTTTGTTTTAATTTTTTTTTTCCTTTAGGATGTTGGTTCTTTTTTTGTGAGGATAACTTGTCCCCTAGAATTTTATTTTGTCTCTCTTCTAAATCTTAATAAAGTTTTTTTATCAAAAAAAAATAGAAAAAGATGATTTTCTATCTTAAGGCTGTTTCATTTTATGAATGGTGTGTGAAGAACATTCAGGAAAGATTGACAGGATGAATGCTAGTCATTCACCCACTAATTCTTGGCAAGAATAGAAGTTAGGAAAATCAAGGACCCAAGGACTAAAATTTCATGGAATAGATTACATTTTTCGATTAAACATACTCACTGTCTCTATTTTTTCAAAGACCAAGAAGTTGCCCTAGTTGGCAAAGGGAACTCATTAGGGGTGCTATACATGAGTTCGAGTCTTATCACTGCCATTTGTGGCACCCAAAGAGTGTGGGAAAGAAGTTTAGAGCTTCTGTTATTCTATTATTACATTTTGACAGATCATTTGCAAATTGAATCCACCGCCCCTTCGAGTGGATGCAACTCTAATGTGTCTTGTGTGACCAAGTTCAGAAATACATCCTTCCAAACCAAGGTTCAAAGTATCAGCAATACTGATACACGTTGGCCGAGTCATATTTGACTCGATATCTTCCGAGATGATATCGTTACGCGATACACATAAATCCCGAGTTTCGTACGACTCGACGAGTTGTATCCAAGTCAATCCCAAGTCGCTGAGTTTTTGTCACTGGATTGGCCGGTACAATTCCGTGATGCCAAGTATGACCGGAATCTCTCGTCATGTTCAAAAAATTTTTTATAGGTTGTATCGCCCGATATCGCACTGCAACGCCACGACCGGTGTGCCTTCGAGCTCTCTAATCAATAGCCACTATCGCGACATTGAACCATGTTCCAAACCCATTAATTACCAAAATACAAGACATAACACATCATGGGGTGCAACCTCTCATCTACATTTATTATTAACATAGGAAAGGAGAATGATACTCATTTCCATTTAATTTAATTGAACTCTACTACCTCAAAGATCTTAACAAGATTTTTACTCTCAATATTTCCAAAAAGATAAGCAAAACATTATAGAATTGGAGACCATCTGTACCAATAATAGAACATGCATGGTTACATGCCAGAAGTATTGATTTTAGGTTTAGATGAATGATAAGTTAAGATATGCATCCAAGCATGCATCTGAGGGTGCATCCTATGCACTCAAGCTTTGCTACAAGTATCTCATAAACGAAACACAATACAAGAAGAAAGCCAGGCTGCCTACCGTGAGAACAACTATTGCAGTGGTAGCGGTGAATATTGTCTGACCATGCCCTTCTGGAAGATCATGAACTGATTGCAGAGCAAGAGCAAAAGCCATAGCCCCTCGAAGTCCTTATCATGCCCATTATTCATGCCTTTTAGCAAAACTGCAAACAAATCTGCTCAAGAAATATGCTATTATGTACTTACCACTGTACCAAAGAGCTTTCTGATATTTTAAAGGTATTTGTCGATGCACAGGTCGGGCCAAATTCACCAAATATGCGCAAGAGAAAACATTTGCCGCCCTTCACAAAACAATTAAACAAATTGCTCAATAATCCATTCATACTGTCTGCATTCTCATCAACATAAGGGACTATAAGGCAACAAATAATGCACAAAAATTAGATAATCAGGTTAGCATACCTTGCAACTCCAATAAATAACTGGTGTAATGATGGAGTAAGTTAAGAAATGACAATAATGACTTCATTAAACAATAAAAAATCACCGGTAGTAGACCAGACAAATGACTTAAGGATACAATTGAGAAAAAAATGAACCCAACGTGGGACCAGCTATGCTGCTCCATGGCAATATCAAAACCCATGTATATAAATCTGCAGGAGAAACAAACAAGACATGTGTCTCTAAAGTCATGGAAACAGGAAAGAATTGATCACAAGGTATGAATAACCAAATGCTCCCTTACACAAATGTCTCGGCCAATGATGATATTAGATGGAAAAATGCAGATACAAATCGCTGAGAATTTTCAGACAAATTTGAGAACGTATAATGCTTCATAACCTAGAAAACAACCCCAAATACGCCTCTCGTCAAAAATGCTTCAACAAATCAAAGGTGACTAAATAGCAAAACAATGCACAACTACTTACAATTCCAGTGAACAGAATTGAAACAATACCAGAAAGGCCAAGTCCTTCTGCTAGCATGTAACTAAATTAAGATCATAGGTTAGACACGCAAAAACATATTGAGTATCAAGAGCAACTAAATAATTTACCAAAACAAGGCAGAATTGCAAGGAGTAGCTTACGAGAAATACGGGAAAAGAACAAAAAGACAGCACTCCAAATTCTGAAGACTGAAAAAAGGATTCATAACGGAATTATTATGAGCAGGACGATATGCAGATTACATGCACATTACAAAACACAAGGAAAGAATATGAGACAACTCACTTGTCAATATCCAAACCTGCATACTTAAAAAGGTTCTGGGAGTTAAGGTTTCACAGAACATTCCAACAGCTAAAGACCATGGATTAAGCTTACGTTGGTGTTTGAAAGATGACATTTAATTCAAAAGGATATCAAAGCAGAAGTAAATCCAACTCCAACACCTGTAGAGGCAGAGCAAGGCATTCTTAGTGACATCGACAGGAAATTTTTTTTATGAAAAGGAGATATATAAAGATATTGCAATAGAGACACATTCAAAAGAATTATACAAGTCAAACAGAAAAATCTGTATGAAAGGCAACATTGTGTTAAGGGACAAAGATAAAAATATGTCATGTTAATATTTTCTGAAAGTATAACTTCAATTTTCTTAGGGATACTGCACAAAGAGTTGGAGTTTTTTAATCTGCAAATTATCGTGCTAATGAGCTTGAAAACTTTTGTAGGGTCATATCATTAAGTCATCTTATTTCCTTAATGAAAATTTGAGATAACGCTTTGATGAGCGGCATCCTTTGTTTATGTAGCACATCCACATTAAATAATGTCAGGTATTTTCTAAGCCTTTCATACACTTTAATATTCACAACTTTTTACCAATTCCAACAGTTTACTCACAAAACTGACAATTTTGCTGATCTAGCGTCAGGTAGACAACTGTCTCGAAAAACTTGCCCTCAGCCTAAATATATAGAAATCACATAATACACCTGATGGTTTAAACATATACTCCATTCTCACTCTTTCTATGCATGCATAATAATCTCATGCTCCAGTAATGTACACAAAGTTAGCCACAAAAAGAAAAAATAATAAAAAACAGAAAAGAAAGATTTACACTTTTTTTAATATTGGCTTGGTAACAACTAAATATGTACACATTTACACAGGCTAAAAAGGATGAAATGAAGCCAGGGCAGCTGTAAGAGCATGCTTTCATCGAAAGCAAACTTGGGATATCCTGTACAGAAGTGTACCATTCTAAGAAGCACGAATATGGACACGGGTGTCATAACCGATACGATACAGCACGGGGATACGGCAAAATCCCAAAATATAGGACATTAATAATAACAAACAACCAAGACATAGCAAACATTACTTAAATTGAAATAGATCAAGTAATTTTCGGTATTCAAAACCAGTAGCACAGAAGGCAGCAACACAACAGACCAAAAAAAAAACCCAGAAGGCAGTAACACAGCAAAAAGACAGAAAAAAACAACAACACAACAACAACTACTTGAACCCCCAAATTTTGAAACCCTAAATCCCTAACCCAATCTAATTTTTTGAAAATCCATTACAAACCAGAGGAAGTAACAAAAAAAGATCTGAAAATTGTAACAAAAAAGAAGTGCAGCAGATCTGAAAAAAATTGAAACAACAAGAGAAACCTGCTGGAGCATCAGGTCGCTGGTCGTAGTCACAGGTCGCACGTTGGTCTTCCTCTTCCCTCTTCTTCTTCTCCTCCTATGGTCCTCTCCTTGACCTCATTCTCCACTTCTCTCTCTCTCTCACGAACACACTGGAAAAGTCGAAGGCTGAGCCTTTTGACTTTTGGCTTTGCATTTTATTTTTTCTTTTTCAACCACAGAAATGACGTAGGTTTGCTTTTTTTTTTTTTTTTTTTGTTTCAGCCCCCAAGTTTTTAAAATAACATAAATAGCCCGGTCGTATCCTTGTCGTGTCCCCCTGTATCCCCAACGTATCTGAGCCGTATCCAGTTGGAAAAATTCAAATCTACTGTACTAGACACTTCTACAAGTGTCGGACACATTTCCGGCCGTGTTCCACGCGTATCAATGTCAGTCACGTGTCTGCCACAGCGACCCCAGCAAGTATCCGTGCTTCCGAGGTACAATTTCTATCCAAATAGTAATAAAAATAATTTACTTGATTTGTCCATATACACGGGGGAAATCATTCCCATGGCAAAGAGGGCCCTAGCACCCAGCATTTTGAAAACCCGCTATATGCGTCTTTTTCTCCCAGTGACTCTCTTTGGCTATATAAAATGCCTGTACCTCCCGTTTTACAAAATCCCTCTATATGCTTCTATTTCTCACGACGACTCTCATTTCACAATATAAAAAAAATGTCTGCTTCTGCTTTATATTATCCAAATAACCTTGTAAACTGTAATATACATAAGTGCTAGAGAACCCAACTAAACATTTGATATTTATCTCAACCCTGACTATCAAGCCTAAATTCGTATAATCAACTTAAACAACACTCGCATCAGATTTCAACATTTCTAAGGTCAGCTATTGCTATACGGTATTTCCTTGCCAACCAAAATGAACAGAAATAAAGAATCTGATGTTTTCTTCTGTAATCGATAAAAAAATTAGAAATTGGCTAGTTCATAATTTGGTGTAAAGACATGTAAGAACCAACCTGCAGACATTGAGCCAACAAAGGTCTCGAGGAATCTGACAATGACCATGACAAAATTCTGACCAGATGACACATGGCTCCTTACCAAAGACATTGTCCTACAAAAATTACAATCTCTCAATTAGAAAATTTTCCAATCATATTCAGAGTTGTAATGGCTGAATGCAAGTTGGCTAACCTGTACAAGGAAATTGCCATCTTCCAATTGTGCAACATACAAAAAAATAATTTCCGGCAGTAAAATTTTCCATCAATAAGAAGATGAAATCATCAATGAAGAGTTGAAACAGTAATGAAGACAAAAACATACTGCATCATTCAGAACAGATTCCCCGAAGACCAATGCATAAAGATTCATGTCTGTGCCAAGCTCCTACAATGGGGCAAACAAAGTACATGTCAATTAAAATTGAAGCAAATTGGTAAAGATTCTAAAATATTAAATACATAAAAAGAGAATCTCAGCATAGTTTACACAAGCAAAATGCTTGAGGCTAGTACAGATATAGGAATAACAAGAAGGCCACATTTAAGGAATTACTCACATCATTGAAAGAAACACATGAAAACAAACACTTCAATCAATTTCATTTAAACCCAAATACAGATGTCAGAGACTGAGACTGTAATCAAAGTGAGCATAAGTCTACTAGAGGCAAGACAAGGACAATGAGATGAGAAGCATATGGGCTTGTTCTTGGCTTATCTTACCTGTGAAGTCCTAAAAATGGTATCAGAGAGAGAGAGAGAGAGAGAGAGTATGGCTCAACCCTATAACACATACATTGTTTGACGGATATAGAGAAGTATGGTTGAGTTTGGTTCGACTTTGAGGGAGGAGAGAGAAATTTTTGTTGGATATGATAGGTTAGGTTTAAGAGGGAGTTTGATTTGGGCTTGAGGTGAGGGAATCAGCGTGGACTGGTGGGTTTTAGTGGATTGATTTGCAGGTATTGTGTATGTGTTATTTGTTTCTGAGAGCGAGAGAGAGCAAAAGGAGGAGGCTGGGGATGATGGCATGATATGTCGGTTAGAACCACCAAAGAGACCGTATGAGAGAGCACAGATAGGAAATGAGAGGGAGACATGGAGAGAGAGAATCTATGTTTTTGTGATAGTAGGAAAGAGTATAAGAGAGAGGCACAAGGAGTTCAGAATTGGGCTGGACTCGCAAATCCTTTGGCCTTGGCTTGAGATCAACTCGCATTGAAAATAAGCTTAGATAGTCAATCAGATTTGGTTCATATTACAATACGAAACGAGCCAAACCAGAGCTACTAGGTTTGTATCTCAGTACGTCGTCTATGACCTTTGATCTTGTGTTCCTTTTCTCTCTCCTTTTTCCTCTTCTCCTGTGCAATATCAGTTGCAGCAGTCCTTTGGAGTTGACGAGCTGTAGGCTCCTATTTTAGTGGAAACCTCATATCCATGGAATTTTAAGATCATGGCATGTATAAGGTTCTTGAGGCTTGAGCAGTTTGATGTTTGAAAGAAAAGAGCCTTTTGTAAGGGATGACATCATCCTGATTCAGTCTTGCTTAGCCTACATAGTTACCAAATTTATCTCCCTATCTTCAAAGCAAGCTGATAGAGCTTCTTTTTCCATGTTGATGCGCTAGCCACCACGAGCAGGTAGTTGGGGACTAGGTGTGCCTTGCCAACCAAGAAGTAAGATGTCCGGATTGGACAGCGTGGCCATACCAAGGCAGATAGGGGATATTAAGATGATATAGATTACTCGGGCAAAGTTATACTACAATAACTAAACAACTTAAACTAGAGGTTCGGGAATTATATTTTTTGAGCTTAAAACTTTGCCCAAACTATAATCAAATAGGTTCCTGAGTTTTTAAATCCCCATTTACTTTAGGAGAAAAACTTTCCCAAATTTGCAAGCAGACTTTCTGGACATGCCATTGATCGCTAATGTTGACATAGTACTCAATGCCCTCAATAGATTATAATCTCTAGCCAAATTAATGTAGTTGAACCCAAACAAGGTAGAACAAAACTTTGTTGAGCAAACCAAAAAGTAGGATGTCCATATTGGCCAGTGTGCCCATTCCAAGTGAGATGGGGGATGTTAAAATAATTTAGATTACTCAGTCAAAGTTACACTACAATTACTAAACAACTTCAGCTAGAGGTTCTGGAATTATATTTTCTGAGCTTACAACTTTGCATGAACTATAATCAGATAGTTTTCTCAGCTTTTAAAATCTCCATCACAGTTGTTAGTATCGTACGATACGTGTTGATACATTAAGTGTATTGGTTTTACACTGGATCATGCGATTCATGATATGATACAACTGATACAAGATGAGTAGTAAGAGTCATCTGATATGGGGTGAAACAATTCATTTTTTAAAATAAAACGACGGGTTTTTACATGGAAGTAATTTTTTGTAAAAAAAAGTCTAGGTAATGAAACGACGTCATTTCACTATATAGGATTTTAAAAAATAGAAGTCTTCTTTTGTTATAAAATATTATGCAGGAAATACCTGTATATTTGCCCAATTGAGGAAGTGTACACGAAGTATCCATATAATTCCTACATAGTTTGCCAAGCATCACTAGCATCAATAATGGAGTGGGCAAAGACCAACTAAACTCAACTCAACAAAAGAAATGTACTATTTACCTTGAGGGAGTGAAAGCATAAACACTAATAGAGCCCCTCAACAACAATACCTAGGGCCCTCCTCCAATCTTGGTGACATCAGTTCCTTGAGAATAACTCTTGCCTATCCCTTGGTCCCAAAATCTACAAGCTAATGCTCTTATTCCGATTAGGACTTTAAATATTCAATTTTAGCATACCATCTACAACCCTAGAATGATACGAACTCTAAGAATTCCTGCATGAGTGAGCCTCAAATAATTTCACCTGGAGGTAGGTTCTTCATTTGTTCAAGGTTATCACCTAGTTACATCCAACAAAGATTATATAACCAAGCATACAACAGGGACATTAACATTGTGATCACATGCAACATTTTCAAAGTGAAATGAGATATTAATGAATTATGTTAGAAACTCGAATACTTAGATTGCTAATTTTTTGTTTTGGTCCTCATAGTCATTTTAAATTATTTTACATGAGAATTTTTTGGTGCGTGTTGACAACCTCCCATTTAGTTCAAGAGAAAAACTTTCCAAATTTGCATGCAGACTTTTTTGACATGCAATTCATCACATGGGCAGATTCATGTAGCTGAAACCTAACAAGGAACAACAAAACTTTGTTGGGCCGGGTTGAGCTAAATTTGCGTAATTCAAAAGAACAAAATTTATATAATTCTAAGTGGAAGATAGAATAACTTGGAACGACGGGAAACAAATATTTTTTTATTTATGAATTCATTTGATTTTTTTTGTAAAAAAGTGACTGAAAGGCAACTTGTGAATCTTACACCCGAATGAAGCTTTCAAGAATACTAGAACTGCTTGTTCTAAGCATATGTACTCTGTGTTTTGAGCATATCAAGAGGTTTATCCTCTCTCGTCAGAAATATATATATGAATATATCCCCTTATGTGTTGTCAATCACTATTCATTTTCTTCCTTCTATGCAAAGGGCAAAATCTATATTACAGGTGCTAAAAATCAACAATAACTGAAGAATGCCTATTTACTTGAGATGTTTTGGAAGTTTCAATTTACAAGATTTATTTCTTATCATTTTTCATATTTTGATTATCATCTATATTACTTATAAATATCAACATCTATGAAAAACTTCTAATTTCTTATTTTATCTATATCTATACTACTTATAAATGTCAACATTTATGAAAAACTTTTATCCCTAGACATTATTATAAAGTCAATAAGTTTGATTTCCAATACCTATTTGAAGTTCAAGTTCTCTTGAACTCTTTTATTACTAATAATAATATTTGACTTCTAAATTCTTTTGAACTTATTTATTAGTAGTACACTTGCATACAATTTTCTATATTTATATTTGTATTTATATGAACAAGTAAAATTCAATCTATATTCTATTATATACATATATTAATATATGGTTGTCACATTAAATTCTACAATAAAATATATGCCATATTTAAATTTTTTTGTATGTAACAATATCATAATATTATGATACAAAAAATAGTATTACAATCTAAGCAATGTCTTTGGCAAAAAATATAACAAATCAATAATATAATTAGATGTCAAATACTCAAGAATGATAATCTTACAATTAAGTTCTATTATGAACAAAAGAAAAAATGTCTAAAGGGGCCAAAGAGATACCTAAAAAAACTAATAGATTAAGTACTCAAAGATGGGTAAAATTGATCAATAATTAAAAGAAGAATGAATTATTCGACATATAATTTTTTATTCAACTTAATTAAAAATATAATTTAAATTCTTTATTAAAAAAGAATTATTTAAATATGTTCACATAACACTTTGTGCATTGCTAGTACTTCAAAAAGTAGATGTTTGTCAACCTACCCCAAAAAATGCTAAGGTAGTGTAATTCATCAACCCAATAAGAGAGGATAGATGGGCAGTGTAATTCATTAATCGGAAATACTACATTCAACATGTGGTATAAACCAATCAAGTATTAACCCTTGAATGGGTTCTATAGAATTACACACACAAATGAAACAAGGTTTTATGGACACCTGATTGGTTGTTCACCAAATTAGTATTTAACATAAAACAATACTAAATCCATGGTAAATTAATCAAACCGTTATGGATAAAGAGAGGGCATGGGATCACCTGAAATATGGACAGAACAGTTACAGGATCGGTTGCAGATATAAGAGCACCAAACATCAAGCATTCAACAAATGGAAGTCTGTACATGAGAAACATCAGCCCGCCAAGGTAACTGCAGCAATATACATCAAAAGGAACGAACTTAGCGTGGCATAAAAAATACTCTACTAATTGCAGGAAATAATGATAATTGTGAATTGATACTCACACCAAAACACCTGTAACAATTGAAGCTATAAAAGTCCCCAAAATAGCAAATGTGACAATGGCCCCAAAGTTCGAAAAAAATGGTTTCTGAAAATTGTAACAATGAAGCATATAGAATCAGTGGGAAATAAGATGTATGTGAACTGGAGTGTTACCATTAAAGTATATAACAAAAGGAAAAAAAATGAAAACTTACAGGTGATAAACTGAATCCAGACTGAGTAAAAACAAAAAGGTTAAGAGAAACAAATTTTGGCAACCAATTAACAATGAAGCAAACACAAGTTAGAATATCTAGGTTAAACTAACAAAAGAGTTTGGTAAGAGAAAGAATCCGAATAAGGATATAATATGATTGGAGGCAACAAAAACAAAAAGAAAAACTCCTCATGGAAGTTAAACCAAGCCCTGCAAAAAAAAAAAGGCCATCCATTCGTGAGGATACAATTCTCATTCTCGCGAAATCCGAAGAGGTCTTATTTTGGAATGGAGATTTCTATGAAAAAAACAATAAACAATGTCAAGACCTGATGTTTGTTTCCGTATTAGAAATGTTAGCGAGTCCACCAACAATTAAACCTGCCAGAAATAATATGAACACAGGTCACAGCAGTTTCTTAGCAAGGAAAGAACACAAGTCACGGCAATGAAAGAACTATTGTCGACGGAGAACATGAACAAATGGATGAATGAAACCAAAATTGGAAACAAAAAAGCGAAATGCAAGAAGGACGTTAGATCAACCCCTATTTAGTATAGAAATTACCAATCAAGAGGGAGGCGCTGGCTTCGGGAAGATAATAAAATCTGTGACGGCGTAGAACATGGCCAAGGACAAATGATAGAACGAGCATCATGATCTGTAGAAGGATGCCGACTCCAGCAGCCTGTTGCTCCTTACCTGGACTGCCCTGCGGATCGGATGGAGATATCTGAATCTCATCCATGCCGATTCACCGGCGTTGATATTGCTCCACTACTGAGATGATTTTCTCTTCCTAGTCCGGCTTCTTCCGTCTATTCCGCTACTTTGAACTTCGTAGGTAGCGTTTGGTACGAACTCCGACGATTCTCGCCTCAATTCACTGTAAATCATCACACAAATAGATTACAAAAGACAATCTGAAATACAATTCAAGAAACTTTTTACTACCAGAGAGAGAGAAATGATTTTGGCCAAACAATAAGCACAAACTCGTAGAGAAAACCCTAATACTGCTCGCGAAAGAGACTTCAAACAGCGCACTCCCCAAGCGATGCAAAACCCTATACCCCTAGTTTTTACCCTGGTTTAGATGAGAGGGCGAGATGAGATAACTAACCGACACAATTGATAGTGATTTAGCAGAGGCAAGGGTCGAAGTGCAGTGGAAACGCAGAAAAAATAAGAGAAGTCGTGGCTCGTTCAACATGAGATGAGAAGAAAAGGCAGAAAATTGCTTTTTTATAGTTGGACACAAATGGGACAGATTGTGTTGCTAGCAGGAGTTGAAGGCGAAAGCTCAATAATTGTGATCGCACGTTTCCGTTTTCTTCCGTTTTTAAACACCACTCTTTAGCGTTTTAAAAAATGGGCCAGTTTTCAAAACGGTTGCAATAAAAAAAAAACAAAAATAATTATTAAACGAATTTTTTTTTCTTACTTCCTCCAAATGTCAAAACAAAAATAAAAAATAAAAACGTTAACAAACAAGTGCGTTGAGTAAATTTATTTATAGAGATAAATTAAATAATTAAATAATATAACATATTTATTATGTTATCATCCATTTATACAAGAATAAATTTAAATTTGAGGAAAAAAAATGTTTGACATGAGATAAAAATCACTTAAATTAGTTTCCAACACTTAATTTTTATCAAGTAAACACATTTATACATAATGTTAAAGTCTTATAATACACATAAAATGCTGATGAGAATATACTTATATGGCCACATTCATCCCCCTGTGGAGTGTCGAGCAGATTCATACATCAGTGTAGGCTCTGGATAGTTACGTAGAGAAACTTCATGTATGGCATAAATATGATGACAATAATTATTTTAACTCATATTATGACGATAATATGAATTATACTTTCTCCCAAACCTCTGATAGTCTGCAATTTGTACACACAAAAATACTTAATTCTACATATTTAAAAAAAAGTTACAATTAATAAAATGACTTGCAGTTATTTAATATGTCTATTTAACAAATAATAATAGCATAAAAGAATAATTACAAAAAGGAAAAAAAATAATAAAGGGTATCAAATTAAATTAAGGGTTAATTGCACTAGAGGTCCCAAAGTTTGAGGTTTGTCTCATTTTGGTCCCCAATGTTTTAATTGCATCATTTTGCTCCTTAAAGTATTGAATATGTTTCTATATGGTCTTTTAAGCAAACAATGTCCAAATTGATAACGATTTTTTATCATAAACTTGTCATGTAATAGCTAAATATGGATAAAAAATAATTTTGATAGCTCTTAAACAAAATTTGGGTTGCTTTTAATAAAAAAATGTGTAATATGGGTAGCTTTTGACCAAATTTTGAATAGCTCGTGATCAAAATTGTGTAATTTAGGTAGGTATTTAACCAAAATTTGAGTAAAAATTTGGTCAAGAGTTATCCAAATTATTTTTTTTTATCCATACTTAAGTATCATGTGACAACTTTATGATAAAAAATCGTTAACAATCTAGACACTGTCTGCATGAGGGACCATATAAAAACATATTCAATATTTTCAGGAACCAAAATGATGCAATTGAAACATTTGAGACCAAAATAAGACAAACTCCATACTTTGAAAACTTTTAGTGTAATTAACCCTTAAATTAATGGTACTTATGTATACTTAAAAGTAAAAAGTTATAATACATTGGGGTATTAAATGTAATTGTTCATACTTAACAAAGAAAAAAAATAATGAAGGGTATCAAATTAAATTAATGGTACTTATGTATACTTAAAAATAAAAAGTTATAATGTAGTGGAGTATTAAATGTAATTATTCATACTTGTAACAAAAAAAATAATGAAGGGTATCAAATTAAATTAATGGTACTTATGTATACTTAAAAGTAAAAAAGTTATAATGCAGTGGAGTATTAAATATAATTATTTAAACTTATATATATATAAGGCAAACTCTGCACAGTCGTGAGTCTCGTGACCCACGAACGAACACAAGCAAAGAGAAGAGGCGAGAGGTGATGGCGATGCCGAAGAGAAAAAGGGAGACAAGAAGAAGAATAAGAACGTACCTAGTGGTTGATACCTCGTGGTCACAGCTCGTAGTGACGAAGACGAGACTCCCAACTCCCAAACCCTAGATCTGCGTGAAAAATAGTTAAATCTGCTCAAATCTTGACTCAAGAAGGTAAGTTACTAAAATTTTCTCCTTCGATTTTTGGTTTATAGTCTATATGTGTCTTTCTCTATCTCTTTTCTCTGTTTTGATTGGAAGACCTGAACAACTGAACATGGACATGTGATTTTTTGTGATCTCTATTTCCCCCTTACCTTTTTTTTTTTGGCTTGGAGGACATGTGATTTTTGAGAGTTTCTTTTTTTTTTTCTTTTGGCCTGAAGTGAAGCGAATCACAGTACTGTTTCGTCAAAATGGTACTGTTTCGACTAAAACAGTCCGACACAGTGACTTTTCGACTGAAACATTGGAATTTTGGGATTCATCCCACATTTCGTGTCGGCGTGTTGAAATTTTTAAACGTTTCAGACGTTTCAACACGACATTTCAATCCTTGGACAGAGACGTATTGGGCGAGTGAGATGAAAATGAGAAGTGAATCTATAATTTATATTAACAGGGCAGCTTTAACAAGTTTATCCTATGGTCTCAAATAAATTCATCCAACAACTACCACTATTCCATTTAAAAAATAGGGGTCATTTGACAATGTTTTTGTTTTTGTGTTTTCAAAAAAATCAAAAGCAAAAACAATTTTTATTTTGTTTTGTGGTAAACACCGAAAACAAAAAAATATGTTTGGAAGTCATTTGTGTTTGTAAAATTATGATAATAAAAACTAAAAATATGTTTGGTAACCACGTCAAGTTATATCCTTAATATTAGCTTTATATATCTCATAACCTCATCCTCTCGAATTTGTTCATTATCCGTTTCCATCTACAACAAATTCCCAATTGTGATCACTACGCATAAACGTACTAATCATAATTTCCTTTTAAATCGAACTAACAAAAGTTCTAATCAACATTTAAGTCATTCCATCACATATAACCATTCACTAATGCAATAGTTCTATATACACTCAAGAATTGGGAGTAACATATACACTCATGAAATTCCCAAAACATATATTATACTCATGAATTTCAACTTCTGCACTCATTAATTTTAACATATTCACAAATTCACCCACAATATAGTCAACATATACACAAATTCACCTCCAATATATTCAAAATATCCACAAATTCACCCACAATATATACTCACACAGACTCTATTAACTCAACACACACACATAGCCTTAACACACACACACACATAGCCTCAACACACACACACACAGACTCAACACACCCACTCACACACATACACATTCGAACACACACATCTATCCTATTCTCCTCCTATATAAGCATACTAGTAATTGTCCATGCCTGAAGGCACTACGTTACTTGTAAAAAATAAACAAAAAATTCTCCAAGGCAACAACACATAGAAAGAAAAACACCAAAAATGTATGTATAGGCACAAATTTTGATAAGAAAGGTTGGATAAAATCCTCTAATTACGCCTAAAAGCACTATGCGTGTGTGTGTATTAACGAATGTGGGTATACAATACTATTACGACTTAGAAACAGCTAAAAAAGCTCCAACACCCTTCCTAAAGAGGGAGGATAGAGATTGAAGAGAGGGGCGCTAGTTTCTAGATTCAGCGAGTGAGCCAATGACTAATTTTCTTCTCTTTGGCGTTTTGTCAATCACCTAGTATGCATTAGTGTGTGGTCCCAAGGAACCCCGAATCATATTGTGAATTCGAGCCATAGAAGCAAATGGAAGCAAAATACAATCAAATATCAATGATTACCAACTCAACCATTCTTTCATTTGATGGGTTTGGTGTATTGTGATAATTAACACCTCACTTATATCAATGATAACCAACTCAACCATTCTTGTGTATCAATTCAAACAGTTCAACAAATGATAAGAGATACTCGGTTTATACCTAGCTCTAACTCATTGTCTTAAACGAAAAAACATATTAGTGGCAATTTTCCAACCAAATCCTAACACACCAATTACTTGTGCTCAGTTAGGCATTTTGTCAAATAGGTTCAGAGCTAAATGAGTCTGAAGAACAATGTACACAAATATCAATGATAACCAACTCAACCATTCTTGTATATCAATTTGAACAATATGGAACCATGGTCACAAAATCCCCTAACATACAACACATATTCGCTAAAGTCAAATTGGAGATGGTTATCTGAATTCAAATGTAACGAAGTTTGGTTGCAAAAGAATTATGTTATAGATTTGGATATTATGGTAGACTTCAGAGTTTATCAATGCCCCTTTAACTTTTGTTTTGTTGTTCAAAAAATTTTGAAATCTTTCATCCAATTCTGCCCATTTTTCCATAAAATCAGTGGACTCTGCTGACCCATAGAAAAATCAAAAGTACAGATTAGATTTTTCAAATGCGTGAATATCCATAAAATGCAAATTATCCTACACTTTCTAAATCAACATAAAAACGTTTTTAAAGCCATTATATGAATTGAAAACAAAAACAAAACCCACTAAACTAAGAAAAAAAATCCATCACTCTAATTTAGCATAATTTGTATTCTTCTAGCATCATTTTCTTGACAATCAACCGAAGCATAAAAACAAAACTACCAATTAACATATAAACACAAAAAAAAAGTACATGTGCAGACAAAAATTGAGTATCGCATTGAGGAACAACTCAGTCCAGTCTGAGTCAAGATTTATCAAATCTTTAAGAGTAAATTTCTTAGGGCATTCCAAAGCGGCTACAACTTCCCTAATCTTGTGGAACAAATTCATCGTATGGACCAAATCGACATGGACTCTGGGTTCTCGAGCTGTTCCATGGCCGTGAAATCGACTTGCCCATAATCTTCCCTTTT